ATAGTGATCAATAGGAAGGTCGAAATTTCTAAGGAAAGGAAGAGGGGCATTGATATGGCGGTTACCCTATGAACAAGCGAGTGCTCTTAGGCGACGACAAGAAAAAGTTTAAGACGGCAAATTATGTACAACCAAGCTTGTTAATCGGAAGAAACATGATGACGAGAAAGGCACTGACACCAAGATTACACCCAAAGACAAAGCACATCAATTAAAACTTTCGAAATATTAAGCTGAAATAGATCATAGGATGCATATCATGAAACATTACATGCATTAAAACATCAATGAATGGAGTCCTACCCTTTTTCTCGGCAAAAAAATCAAAAAATCCCCTCCGGTAGCTCGAGACGGTCGTCCCAAAGTCGGGACGGCCGTCCCAAATGTCCAAGTTCAATTGGGACGCACGTCCCGGGTGGGACGGCAGTCCACTTACCGGTCGATGTCCCATGCGTGAAAAATTCAAATGGGACGGCCGTCCCAACCAGGACGGCCGTCCCAAAGTTCCTGGCGCTCCCTATAAATGCTAGGCGCGGATTTGAGCTTCGCACCCCATTCCAAGCTTTCTATCTTGCTTCTTCTCCCTTTCTACACATTTCTAGCATTCTTAAGTAAGTATTACCTACAATGGAGCATGGAGAAGCCTCATCTAGGAGAAAACGCTCTAGGAATCCTGCTAGAGGAACTCCTACAATTAGTACTCAACTAGCGAGAATCGCATCAACTATGGGTGGCAAATATCCGGCAATTTTCACGGTACCCCACACTTGCGATTGGATTTTGAAATCCTAGCTACATTTAGGCTGGGATCAAGATGTCGAGAAGATACATCCACGACATAGGATGAGACTTTACGCTCAAGTGAGCTACCTACTCGGATCCATCGCGGTGCTTACGATGGAATTTCTTGCCTCTGTCAACATGGTGGAAATGCCATCTGCAATTCCGGGGTGCCACCAAATCAAGTTGTCTCCTCTTGGATGGATGGAGCTTACTGGGACCACTTGCTCTGGATGACTTTAATGTCATTATGGGTTTTACGCCAACGAGCGGATACAAGAACTCCGAGTGCCGATCCACGTATTTGGAGAGGCCAGTTGCTCTCACCACCACTAGCATGTGGAAGGAAATCACTGGAGCTGTTGTTACGCCATCAAATGCGAAGGGTGCGGCTTTTCCCCTCCACTCCGCGTATGTCATAAATTGCTGGCGGGACCATACACGGCGGAAGGAGAGCCGAGGAAAGGTAACTACGGGCGACCTTTTCATTGTTTCTTGTATGCACCGGGGGCATAGGTGCAACCCGGGGTATGCCTTTCTCAAAGCCGTCAAGGATTGCGGCACTCGCGGTCCAGCGAGGAACAATCATAATAGCTCCCTTTCTCACCCCTCTAGGCGAGTATTGGGGATGTAGCGACGGAGAAGACATCCCGACTAGCCTTCGGCCGGAGCCGATCAATGGCGGAGTATTGACCCATATGAACATCCTCGGCGAGGCAAGAGACGGGGTTTATCTTAAACCCAATCCTCTCATCTCGATGGACATGCGGGATTTCGACACACCACGGGATATCCCCACCACTTCGGAATCCCAGCGGCGAGTCCTACGACCACGACTACGCCGAGCTTATACGGGCGCCTGGATGATGAGCATGCCTACATGGAAGGGCAATTCCGGTTCATGCGACAGCGGTTCGGTCGGTGACCACGAGGCAAGACGGGACGGACCGCCGGATAGAAAATCTAGTCCGAGACCCGGGCGAGGTTCCGGCGCCGCATGCTACGCCGCTTCCCTTCGCCGGCACCATCCTCTCACTCCGGTCCTGAGGCGAGACGATTAGGAGGTTTTCGATGTTTTCTAGTAGTTTAAAAGAATGTTTGAATGTACTATCCAAAAAATATATAATAAATAAGAGTTGTTATTCCCATTTGCATTTCGAAAAGCCTACGTGCAAAATAAAAAGGCACACGTAATATAGCAAAAAGCCGGATTTCAAATAACTCGCGTCAAATAAAAATCGCGAAAGAAAAGGCGAAATCAAAACTACTTCGACGAGAATAAAGAAGCTTCGAAAAAAATAGCTTCAATAAAGGTACACAAAAGCCAATAGAAAAATTCGATCGGGCAAATCAAAAAGATTACCTCATGACTCGAAGACATCACCACATGAGTCATCAAGCACACTCATTAGAGAGTCGCAGCCTCGAAGAGTCCATCAAAGAAAGATCACGCAAGAGTCCATCAAAGAAAGCACGAGAATCAAATCAACCAAATCACTAAGGGGCAACAAAAAGAAAGAAGAGAAAAGCCTTTCATCCTCTAACAAAGGCCACTTTGCATGAAAAAGCCAGAAAGAAAATCCCCAAGAAGAGCACATCAAGAAAAATCTATAAAAGGAGAAAATGAGAAATTTCCATCCCCAGGAAGCCAATAAAATTCCCCGGGGATCACTACGAAGAAAAGAGAAAATATATATCTTTCCATCTAACGTGCATAAGAGGCGCACATATAAACCCATTCCCCAGCAGAAATAAGAACATAAACAAAAGCCAGTTCAAGCAATAAGGAGTCAAAAACTCCATTTTTCCCCCTTAGGGGGCAATTCAAAAGAGATTTCAGGCAGAGCAATCAAATTCTCAATGAATCATCCAAAAGAAAAACTATCACCGGTGAGCCTACAACAGAGCCTCTGTTTGCTCAAAAATAAGCAAAGAGCTAATGTCCCAGAGAAATGGGAAATCAACCTATGCGAGAGGTAATGCAAGCCCAAAAGCATAAAAGTCTTCACCATTGCTGAAGCAATTGCCTAATCAAGAGGCACAATCAAAGTCCCCAGTAAATTCCTGCCTAAAAGGCAACCAACAAAGAATCCCGGTAAAGCCGGATGAGTAAAATAGAAAAGTCAAAAAGAAAGAAAATCAATCATTCCTCATGGAATAGGCGCATAAGTCGCCGAAGCCGGATGAGGGTTCGTACTCATCAATCAAAAAGGATATACCAAAAAGAGCATTCCCAAGAATGCGTCAAAATGCAGATTCATACCAGGTGGGGGTAGGTACCCATCAAGG